TTTCTTAAATAAATAAAATACATAAAAATTAGGTTTAGCATTTTCATTCTTTTTTTTCTCAATAAATAATTTTTATTCTTATTATTATTAACCACTAATTTTTTTGTAAGTAAATATGTATATTAAATAATTAGTAAATTAGGTCAAACTTGAATCTTTTTCTTTAATAATTAAAAAAGCTTAGAATTAGGGTTTTAATTCCAATTAATTTTCTTTATTTCCATTAAATACAAAAACATCAAAAAAATAAGTCCCTTTCTTTATTTAATCATTAATTAATTCTTTAATTTCAACGTAATTTCTTTAAAGGGTCCAACGCCCTCGCACTCTCGATTCTTATTTCTTTTCGCACGTTTACTTTTATTTCCCTTTTTAAATATAATTTATTTGCCCCAAAGCCTTGTAATAGATAATTAGGACATTTACTTTCCGCACTTTTATTCAAAATCGGGTCTTTGTTAATTTGGCGATGTAGACCCGCGCCTTGTAATAGCGTAGGACCTTTATTTTTCCGCATTTTTATTCCCGCACCCTTAACTGCTAATAGTCACATGAAAGAATGTATGCCCAAATAAAATCGAAGCGTAGCTCACTAAATGCATGACAAGACAAATAATAACTGAAAATGACACACAAGGAGTACTAAAAAAGGCGCTAACGGCAGTGGGACTCCTGCGGGTAATAAGAAGCTTAAAAAATGAAGCCCATTTCTTTGAAATCCCACTATAGTAATGCCAATAAAAATAGAAAATGAGAGACCCAAAGTAATGAGAAAATGACTTGTAACTGTGAAGCTATAAGGTATCATACCCTGAAGATTACAAAATAACAAAAAAGTAAAAGTGACAAAGATGCAAGGGAAAAACTATTGTTTCACATTTCCGAAAAGACCACCTATTTGTTTGTTTACCAGGTTCGGCACGAAATCATAAATAAGATCTACCAAGGATTGCCAAGCATTGGGTACTGACTTTCCTCCTCCCTTTTTAGTAACAAAATGAACCAGTAGTAAGACCAAACTGAGAGTGAGCAGCATAAACAAAGAGGGATTTGTGAATGAGAAATACAAGTCACCTATCTTCATAGGAAGAAAAGGGATTATCTCAAATTGTTCAAGAGGGCTGGGTATAGGAACCACCCCCGACTCTAAGTATAAGTATAAGTATAAGTTGTCATTGTATAAGTATAAGTCTAACTGTAAGTACAAGTTCATGGCGAGTTAAGTTAAAATTCTTCTTTACTTTAAGCAATGAGAAAAGACTTGTCGAAAAGGAAATAGCCGGTTGGTTGATCCAGAAATGCAAGGGAGAAAGATGCACAAACGAAAAAGGGAAGAATTTATCGGGAGCAATATAAACTACCCGCTCTAATAGAATTCCATAAACACAACGCGAAGATACTTTACTGAATGACTTGATCAATCGTACTGTACTAGAAAGACCATAATCCTTTAATACGCTATTTTTGATCCAATCTCGCACTTGGTCTGATCCTCTTTCTTGATGTTCCCTCACAGACCCTTTATGTAACCTGATCTTATTACGACGTATCTTTCTTGTCTTGATTGAATACATCATTGATTGAAACAATCATGCAAGAGGTCTGCTACGTCAATTGCATGCGTAACGAGTTAGAACGGCACCATGTGAGATTATCATCCCGACTCGTTCGATTAATGGTGTTGCTGTCAGCCCTGTTCCTAGAGATCCGGGATGGAGGGACGCAAGATAGAGCAATATGTTTTCGCCCTTTTTATTTGAATAGGCAACTTTTACACACGGGAACTTACGAATAATGATTCCCTTTGACAGGAACTTGCTTATAAGAGACTCTCTTCGATGCAACTCAAAGGAAGTAGCTCCAGGAGTCCAGAGAGAAAGCAGCCAACGGTCGTAAGATGTTCTAGACTAGCGTGACCGGAACCTCTGAGGATAGAAAGCCCGCTGCTTACCATATTATGCTAGCAACTTCACACTGACAGAGAGCAAAGATAAGGCGGAATGGAGACCATAGGTCTCCGCGCCGGCTCAAAAAGAAAGGTTCTTACTCCGAGAAGACTTACCAAAAAGAGCCAAAGCGTTCAGGTCAGCAACTCGACCTTCGCCTACTTCGGAAGGATCCAATGAAAGTTGGCCCAATTGCTTGAACATAGAACCTTTGTATTCGAGAGTAGACCTATCATTCAAGAGAAAATTACTTGACTATCAGCCCAAGGATCAGGGCAACCTCTTGGATATCTCGCTTCTTGGCCGCTCTTTACACTGTCCCACCATTTGGTGGTGTGCGGAGAAGATATATCCGGGGAAGCGCTTTGATAAGTATGCTATCCTTGGCGACGATATTTGTATCGCCGACTCAAAGGTCGCAGAAGTCTACCTATCTACACTTAAGGATTTAGGTGTGACTATATAACTTCCTAAGTCTTTAGTCTCAGATGTGGGTGGCGCTGAGTTTGCTAAGAAGTTTAGGTGTAAGAATTTAACAGTGGATTTATCCCCTCTCTTCGAAACCTGGCTAATTCCCATACAATACATGCATGGACTGTATTCCCTTTGTCATCTCTATAAGATACAGAGGTTTTCCACTCTATGTTGATTGTATGGTATTGGTTATAGGCTTCTTGGTAAACTTAACCACACTAAGTCGTCTACAGTATTACGGCTGAAGGCGATTTGGTTAAAGGCTAAGCTACCTTTCGAGTTGTGGCTTGGCCAGTGCTGTCCTGTCGACCCTTATTTAAAAGGTCGATTGATCTGGAAGCTTCAACAAGCTTTCAGGCCTAAGGATCTTGTGGTGCCTCCAACGAGTACTTATAAGTCTGAGACTTTTTAGTACTTAGAGGATATGACACTTCTCAGATCTTGGACTGAAGCCTGGCTCAAGTAAGTCAGGTGGTATTACGCTACTGCTTTATCCCCATATGTTTCCATCGAGGATTTTTTCCAAGCTCCTGTTGTTACTACTCGCTCTTTCCATCGAGTAAAGAGTTTCCACTTCTGACCCGTTTCGGTCTGGTCAGTCCCAAGGTGATCTTGTTGGGTCTATTTCTGATCAAGCTGAACTTTCTTTGTTGGAAGGGAGTGAGAACCTCTTTGATGCTGAGGTTGCGGCTCATCGAGAACTGTTGCGGGGAGACCATAGCTGAGGCTGGGCTTGATCCTAAACCTCTAACTATCCTAGGTTCTAGGTTAGGTGGAAGTGAAAAGACTAAGGGAGATGCAGATTACAGCATTGCAGATTCAGAGGAGATAAAAGTATAAGCCTTCTTTTTAGTCGTTGATGATTATGTATGCAGGGAGAATCCAAGACCAGTAGAAGTAGACCCTGCCGTCGTGGTTGATCCAGTTCACTGAGGAGCAGGAAACCCTGAATAGGGAATTTATTAAGAGAATCAAGATGTGGCAAAGAAGGAAATCCCCTTTTGAATGCCATCTATATAGATGAGACTACGGTGCCCAAAACCTTAGGCTTAGGACATGACTTATTCCCATAGCTATAGCTTGCTTTCTATAGATGAGCCCTTCGTTCAATGTTCCTTTGGAAGGAAGGATAAAGCGGCACATACCAACCTGCGATACAATCGAGCTTCCATTGATGGATCAAATCCAGCTATAAGTGATCGAGTACTTCCTTCCATAAAATTATAGTTGAGTCAGCCCTAGGAGAACAGCGCTTTGAGTCCCTTCTCTCGAGTACTGGTTTGAATAGACAGACCAGCCAAGATTTTTGTTCCAAGTGTTACAGTAACACTCTTGCCCCCCTGTTACCATAAGCTCAATCCGAACTTTGCCCTTACTGACAAGATTAACCATCTGACTCTTGTACCAATCGGGGACCACAAAGTCACTACTCCACTTTTCCACACCTCGGAATTCTACTCAAAAGTTCCATTAAGTTATCACAACCGCGCCAACCGTGTACAGTGCATGCAAGAGTGTCTGCCTACTCTGCAACGAGACCTCAAAGGTGCCAGCTGCATCGTAACACAAGTCCTCCCACCAGGCCTCAATTCATTCGACGGTCTGAACTCTTGACTTGACAGCACTACTACCATCCATTGCTTGATGAGGAGTGAGGAGGGCGGTGTGAAGGGATTGCTAACGAAAAGGCTTTGAAGCCTGAAGAAGAAAGCATTTATTGGGGCTGAGCAGGCTGAACTGTGAATCATATGACTGAATAAGGGCATATGGGATGGCTTTGCCTATAGTACAATCAAGTCGCTATCTTCTACGACTGTAGATGTAGGTAGATATCGGGCCTTCTTCGTTCCCCGAATCTGTTAGTCAGTGAATAGTCCCACCAGTATGTAGAAGAGTTCGTCCCAGTAGTAGTCCACAAGCTTTATTGGTCACCGGACATAGTGAGAACTGCTCAGCTTGCCCTAGCACACACACTAAGTAGATAGTAGGCACAGGTCCGCTAGGAGCTCATCGAACTGAACTTGTAGAGTGAGACCTGTGCTCGATATGGTTTATTTAACTTCTCTTTCTCTCGGTATGCTTCACCACATGCCTGTGATCTCTTTCTCTTTCAAGCTAGGCGGTATCTATAGGAAGTGATCGAAGCATCGGTGAAATGCCATACTTAACACATGCGATTTGCAGATTGCACCTTTGATATCCGCTAAGAACTTCCCAATCAAATAGATCTCCCCTGGCTGGAAATCTCACCGGTGAAGTTATAGCTCTCTAACAAGCGATGAGGGACGAGGTTGCCCGGGTCAACGGATCGAAGGCAGTATTTAACGTTCCCACCTGCAACTACAAACTAGGCTAACTGACCTAGCAGTGAAAGACGAGAGAGCTGACCAAGAATATTTGTCCTAGATTCATCCCTAGCGGCTTCAAAGCCATTAAGATTATTACTTATGGGAATGAATAGTCTTTATAGCGCTCTTGAAAGCGCAACTCCAAGAAAAGAAGAGGGGCTTCCCTCAGTCCATGAAGGTGCTTTCTTTATTGATTGGTAGTTTGATGCTAGCTGTTATGCTAAGCTAAGCAATGTCGCTTATAGCAGTTGGACAAGGAAAGGCAAGAGTGAGCAGCCACACATGAACCGCGATAAACGATGTTATGATAGTCTTTCCATAACCATCTTTCCGTAATCAAATCCTTCTTTCAGTCTCCCAATAAACGAAAAAGGATTGCTGCGAAAGCTGTGCTCGATTTCCTGCGCTAAGAAAGGGGAGTGCCCTATTTACCAAGAAGCTGCAGGCCAACTCGGAAAAGAAGGAGTTGCTATCGAATTCGAATAGGCTTAAGAAAAGGCTGTCACAGAGAAGGAGCAAAGTAAAGGGAGGAAGGAAATGGGCAAATAGGTTCAATCCGTAACTGAAAGCAGGAAAGTCAGAAAGAAAGACATAAAGCAAGGGAATCTGGTAATCCTACTGCTATTAAGACTACTCCGTCTTAGGGCTAGGAGTTAAGGCGCAGCGTAACGGGGCGTAACAGCTGGTGCTCTAATCTGAGCTAAGAGATAGGAACTGCACTTCGACTTGATTTATTCTACTTCTCCCTCTCTAACCCAAGTCCTAGAAGTGAATGAGGTTTTTTTCCTGGAATAAATTTTGAGTGTGAATTTTCACTAGTGTTGTGCTTACTCTTTAGTGGTAGAGTTTGCCAGAAAAGTAAAGCCTTAGAGTTCTAGCGGGGTTGCTCTATAATCAGCTCCTTAAGAATAGAGACTTCTTGGTGAAAATGTCCTTAGAAAAGCAAAGGCTAAAGCCCATACCATACTGAAATGTGTGAATTCTAACTGTCTTGCTTCTGAAAAGCTTTACTTCTTGGGTACGAAACTTTTGTTTCAGCTATCATTCGATCTCGAAAGAGTGCCTTTTGGCTTTATCCTTGTTGGGTCTGGGCTAATTCTTGAAATCAGCAGCAGCTACTCCTACAACTACTTTAACAGAAAAACTACTGATTCTCATCCTCAAGCCAACTCGTTTTCTTTACATCAGGGTGGGTCAAGAGCGGCGGGATCGGGATAGGCATTAGGGGATTTAAGAGTGCCCTTACATCTAGTTTCTCCACTATGTTGTCGAGCTACTTCGTTCCTATCTTGTAATATTATTAAACTCCTGTAGCAAGAAGGAGAGAGGAAGGGAAGTTGGTCACCTGCAGAAGTAAACAAAAGACTGGTATTGTAGCTGAAAGAGTTTCGAATCAGTGTTCAAAACTGATTGAGGGCTCCTGAAGAGGCTAGTTGACTCACTATAGCTATAGTCTCAATCTGGTAACCAACCAAAGCGCATGCATAACTATGGCTGCCATTTATGCAAGCATTCTCATTCATAAGCCCAAAAAGCAAGAGCAGTCTCCTCATAGCACCAAGCACCCGGCAGTCCCTTACCTATAGCCTTCCTTGGACCATAGGGGGTTACCCTCTAGAAGCAGTTTCCTTCCGCCCTGCCTTAGCAAGAATAGCATTATTAGCCTCTCTAGTAGTTCTAATGCCAAGACCTCCATCTCTCTTCCTTAAAGGAACTTTGTCCCAACCCACCAGGTGCATCCCTTTTTTAGTAGGATTCAGTAGACCATAAAAAGTTTATATTGATTTTGTCCAGCAGGGTACAAGTATGAGCAGGCAGTAAAGTAGTTTGCATAACATAGTAAGGAAGGGCAGTAGTAACAGCCTAAATAAGAGTAGCTCTCCCAGCGGGGTTAAGGCATTTTCCTTCCATCCTTGCAACCTCTTTTTAACTCTTTAAATGATGTAGTTGAAGGTACTCTTGCTAACTTTTGAGTGGAACAAAGGGATACCTATAGACTTTCCTCGGTTATCAGTGATGTGGATGCCACTCTCTTCTTGAATTTCTCTCACCAAGGATCTAGGAGTCTTTGGGCCAACAAAGATTTTATACTTTTGAAGATTAACTTTATGGCTAGCTTGTTCACATCACATAAAAAGTTTTCAATAAGAATCTTAACTTATTGGAGCTGCTGCTGAAACAAGATAAGAAAAGGAAAGAGTTAGAGTCTACAACTACAACCTCTCGCTTGAATTGGAATCTTAGCCCTTGGAATCAAAAGACAAAGAAAGAAGTCTTGGAGTGAGAGGTTCCTCTGTAGCCAGTTCCAATTCATCTTAGTCGATCGAGGGGTTCATCTTTCGAAGTGATAGTTCTGGGCGTCTTGGTATTGGATCCGCTTTTCTCTCGTGCTCTTCTGGGCGGTACAAATAAATTAGGAATGAGCGCACCGAAAGACAAGAAAACATAGAAAACTCATCCGCTTGTCAATTAATTCTTGGTGTAATACTAACTTCTAACTTTTTAGTCTATGAGCTTTCCTCCCCCCCATTTTGGCTGCGTGAACGAAATCCCCGGTCATTCACTATCAAAACCACCGACCATCCATCCCTTCTATCTAAAAGAAGGTGAAAGCTTATGACGGCTTGGAGCACCCGCTGATAGGGAACGCTTTGTCGGGTGCCACGTTCCGTTATCTGATTGACGTACGACCGATAGGTACGCTCCGTCATAAGCTCCCCCCGCGGAGAGTGGAAATGGTGCTTCTCCGTTCGAAAGTAATAACAACTTCCATCTGACCGCTTTCACGCTTCCTGAATCCTGCCGGTGAATCTAATATGAATAGTTCGCCATGGGGTATTTTCTCTTCAGGTAAGGTGCGTATTGTATCGGATAAAAGGCTGCGAATAGGCCTCCTCTCTTTCCAGCGCTCTCCTCTACCCCTAACATTTTGTTCCCTTCCCTCTTTGCTAACCTCTATTTCGTTGAATGCTATTCAGTCTGGGATCGAGCCCAACTATTCTAATTATAGTTATAGCTTTCTTCCAACAGCAGATTCATTCGCAAGAACCGATGCCGTATTGCTTCAGTGGAATGCTCCGTAACCTTACTCACTATCTTGACTAACTTAACTGTCTTCTTTTAATGAATGCCCTAGGCAGGCCTTCTTCACTAGCGCAACCCTCCCTAACAGCCTATGAATGTGCAGTGGAATCCCGTTCGTATTCTTCCTCAAATATGTAACTTTTCCTTTATCTGATTGCAACCTATTGATCGGATTTACTGTGCGCGGATATCTTCACTAATGATTCCACCTCCTACTCCTTCCCCGGCACACAAAAAGAGTGCTAAAGTCGGAAATAACTCTCTGTCCAAAGTATGGAGCTTTTTTAGCTCTAAAGGTGTGAAGCGATAAAACTTATCCCAATAGGAATGTGAAGGAGAGAATAATATTTTTTATTATATAATAACATAACTAAGATCTAGGAGAGAAAAAAAGTCTTACAGATTTTTAGATAGACTTTTTCGTGTCATATTTGAAAGTCTGAAATGAATGGAAAAAAGCATGGTAAAACTACCATAAGAGGGCCCTTCATGGCAGTTGGTAGTCGGCAACCAGTCTTCTTTCTTTAAATAAAAGGCTCAGAGCAGAGACCTTTTTTATTTGAGAATAGAAAGTCTAGTCCAGGTTTAGGAGCACATCCCCGGTAGCAAAGGAAGAAGGAAAAAGTGCGACAGCTTTAGCTGCTTGTAGAATATTGTCTAAAGAGCTCACTGAAATAAGGTTTCCAGCTCCTAGGATCGATCCTTGCATTCAAATAGGGGAGCTCTCAAGCTCGATATTTTCTTTCTGATACCAGCACACAAATATCTTCCCTATGAACAGGAGGCAAGATTTCTGCAGCTCCGAACTTTGACCACAAAACAGAGAACAAGGATGAAAAGAAGTTTTCTTCACTTTGACGGTCGACGGTCCTAGTGTGAGTGGATGCGTAGTTTGAAAGTATTTCCACCTGAACCAGGGTCGTGCTTAACCTTTTTCTGGGAGGAGGTCCACATGGACTTAGAATGAGGAAGTAAAGCATCGAATTCCATGTGTTCAGCATGGATTTCAAGATGAGGAATAGCACAAAAAAAAGAGGAAGCGTCCGGCATTAGAGATGGCTTCAGACTCGACCTGAAAGGTGCCAGTTACATCTATTGGACCAGACGGAAATACAAGCTGTCTTGTAGCATGCATGGGTTCGACGTATTCTTTTGCTTGAATTCGACTAGATCCCTTCCCGCCTAGTAGTTCTCACTGGTAGGCTACCGGGGAAACTCGGTGGAGCCGCTGGTGGTTCTTTGTCTCTTTGGCCCTTAGTTGGCGCCCTAGTTGACCTCTTCTCTTTATCAATTCCACTTTCTGTAAACCCCTTACTCTGTGTCTCGCGCTTTTCAGCCTTAATTCCATTCCCGTAATTCTTATATTAAACTACATACATCAATTAAGAAAATAGTATAGTAATCGAAGATAAGATAGAGTCTTACTTACTAGTGGCCCTTTCGGGGACTCTTGGGTGAGACTGGAAAGCCAGACTTATTATACCCTTCCCTTTGTACCCCTCACCCGAGGTCACCTGTTGTCCATTCAATCCGATCGGGGAATAAGCCAAAGGACAGCCAAGACCATCCTTCCGAGGTTTAGGTTCAAGGGTTGATTCGAAGACGTATCTCCCTAACAAATAAAGAAAGCTTTTTGCCTCCTTGCCTCTGTATGAGCCTTTTCGCTAATATGCTCGGAAAGTCATGGTTCCTTGCTTGTGGAGTTCCTTCTTGGATTGAGGGAGTACGGAACCAAGCCCGGCCCAGTGTTCTCTCCCATTAAGTTAAGCAATTTCGAAATGAATTCAAGGCTTGCTTTTAGAGCAATTAAGCTGAAAGATGAATTGAGAAGATCCAGAGGGAACTAATGAGTTTGAGTTCATGAGGTTTAGAAGCGAAATTGCACGAGCATTAGAGTTGCTAGGATTTTATACGAGTGAGACGAAGACTCGATGGTTCTTACAGACCAATCTCGACAAATAACATAAATTGGACAGTAACGAATACGAATTCATTCAATTCTAAATTCTTTGTCTCTCGACTTATAATTATTTAGAATGGATGCACATAATCCACAGCTATTGAATCCTATCTTTGAAAGAAGGAAGAGGCATATGCCAAAGAAGAACGGCATTTACTATAGGAGGAAGGAAGGAAGCCAGGGACACGTGCAGACGCTTTTTTTTATACCAGAGAAGATGATTTTCGGCATATGAGTCTTACTCGGACATGAAACAGAATCCGTTTTGTCCGTGAGTGGGAGAAAATCCGCACCTGAAAGCAGGAAAGATCCAATTCCATGTGTTGCGAAAGAATAAAGAATGGAAAGACGGAAAGCTACTCTTCTTACCGAATAACCCCTCTCCTTGACTTCAAGCAGGATTGAATCAATCAAGGGGACTCAGCTGCACATTCATATGAGTCAGCTCCTTCTTTAAGTTAAGGCCCAAATGCCATGATCAGAAAAGGAAGTAGAATAAGGGAAGGTGCCAAGTCTTTTATCTCCTTTGGGAGTCTCTCGTCCTGGGACTTTTCTTGTCTGTCACTTGAATTAGGTTCATTCCAGTAGCTTGCCAAGGTTCCTTTGAGGAGGGGTGTTTACAAGGGTTTTGGAATGCAAGAATGTAGTGGTAGACGAGAGGGAACCCGAAAATGCAGATGTAACCCTAGACTGTGAGTCCAGGTGATTTAACACTTCGTAAAGATTTGATTCGAGGCTGACCTGCTCCAAATGCTGATTCTGCACAGGTGTCCTTGTTTTATCTGAGTGAGGATTTTATTTGTCTCGCTCCTCTTTCCGGACGAGCTGAGATAGATGCTCTTTCAGGTCTTCGTTTTAGGGTTCCAAACCTGACTCTAACAAGTAAGTAAACTACCTTGATTGGGAATAAATTAATGGAAGAAAACCAACGGCAACTTCCACGGATCCATCTCTATATGCGCCTATCAGTGAGCTGATTGCTCTCCAGGGCCTTTATCGAAAAGCTTCATCGCTCGGATTTGTGTTGTGGCTGTAGCCCCGAAACAGAGTAATAAGGAGGCTGGGATGAGAAAAGAGAGACCTCACGGGTGAAACCAGTACGGCATAAGCCATAGGTCCGTCCTAACTAACGATATGGAAAATAGGCCTTGGCCTTTTCTTCCTTCCTTGAGGACCAAACCGATCTTCGAAGTTGAAACCCGAAAGTGAAGTTTGCTTTGCTTCTTTCTTTGCTATGAGAGTGAAAGCTGCTCAGAAAGGTCTTGCTTTTCCTATTACCGAATCGACTGCTAACAGTCGGCCTTACCTTAAGCGCGTTACAAACTATTGTTCTTGACAGGTTAACCCCTACACTGGGGAGCAAACTGCCTATCTGGGAGGCTTTCGATGGGCCTATTGGGGTAAAATTCTAACTTCCGCTGTTGGACCAATACCCCCTTGTATTCCTCCAGGTCAAATGAAAGTGTTGATTTTTGTTCTTCTATATCTGCTATTAATACGTATATCGCCCTCCTGAGAGGAATATTTTATCCATTAAAGGAGCACCTCAACAGCAGGAGCTGGTATGGACTTTGCTTCCCTCCGTGGATGAACCGTCTTGATTCATTCCTTTTCTTCCGTCATTTATGCACTTCTTTAGGAAAGAGCTTTGGGACTTCCTGCCCAAGGAGATAATGTGAACTAATAATTAATGCGATTATAAAAGAAGCGGCTAGACATAGGTCAAAGGTACAACCGCTACCGCCAGTAGGATTTCCTTGCTTTACTAACCTACGAACCGCACCGCACCGTGGGCACCATGAAGGGACTAGTGTTGGAATAAGAGTCAAAGACGACGTGGACGTCATACAACACAACACAAGCAAAGACAGGAGGTCATTTCCATCCTAAGTCTCAAACAAAGAGGGTGTTGGTTAGTTTCCTTGCGGCTGCCCTAATAATCTATAGGATTTATTCAGCTTTCTCTGAGGCTTGAGAGTCAATGCCTCTTGCCTTTTCCCAATCAGAGTTAAGCTAGCTCATTTCAAGAAAGAAAACAAGTGCCCGTAAGGCAAGCCTTCCTTTGAAAAGTGGAGTGGTAGTTTTCTTTTATGTCATGCCAGTTAAGGCAGTGGATGCCATTACTTGACTCAATCTATCCGGGTGATCGAAGGCGTATCGCGATCGACGCTTATTATATGTTGCTTCGACTGCTGTGTACATCCCCAGCCAATAAGAGAAGAGGAGTGGGTACCAGACTCCCTAAGAGGAGATAACAGTGGCTCCGCGCCCCCTAACTACTGAAGACCTTAAAGAGGTGGTTGAGTAAGGCATTGATCGCTGATTCTATTAATTTAATTCTTTGAAACTATGCGCTAGACTAGACTACCCTCTATTTTAATAGTAAGATTTTATATTATTGGCTATTGGCACTTCTATAGAATAGAAATAAGGTCTTGAAGAGCCTCGTCAAAAAGTACGCCCGCCCAAAGACTTATTTCCTTTAAGCAGAGGGCAATAAAAAAAGCTCTTGGCCTACCTTTCACTCTGTTCACGGTTAGCCGAGAATGAGACTGGGAGTTGGGCTTTCACCTCCTTCTCCTTTACCGAAAAGGGAAAACTATGCTATACCAGCGAGTGGGGAACAAGAGTCAGAGATAAGGTGAATAGATCTCAGAGCAGGCTACGAGAGTATATTAAATATGTATGGGCCTCTTCGGAAGGCAGTTCAAAGGGGAGCTATCAAGGCTCAAGGAAAAGTATCACCTCCGTCTAGTGCTACTATTAGGGAAGTAGACGAACGATCAGGCTTCCATCTACCACTCTAAGGGTTGGAAGGTATATAAAAGGACGAGGAGTTCAATAGTAGGGAAAAGCCTTAGCCAGACGAGTGGCTTATTAAGGAATCATGGCACTCAAGTCCAACTTTAATATATGACTTTCTCTTAGGGAATTAGCCAGAGGGGAAGGACTCAATCATAAATCATACTCAAAGCTATAAAACATTCAGTTTTAATGAGTGAAGAATAATATTTAAAGCGAAGTCTTCATTTAATCAAACATATATTTTTAAAAGATTTAGGAAAGGGTGGTATAATTTAGAATGTCTAATTTAATATATAAATCATATCTTTCAGTCTTTTATTGAAGTCTTAATTACAGAAGGCTTACTTCCCTTGTTGCTGGGACACTTTACGGCTTACCGTCTGGAAAAGATTTTGAGGATGTTCGACTCTTAATAGGTGACTTGTCTGCAAAAGGGTACGTATGCTTTAACATTAGATCCGGTAAAGGTAGGAGCTGGTTAAAGGGCAGAAAGATTAGTTCAAGTTTCTTCCGCTTCATCTCCTCTGATAGCAGTATAAAGACTTCATACCTCTCCAAGCCTATGAGCTTCAACACCTGCTCTTCCTCCTTTCAGGTCCAAGGCGAACAATGCCTAAAGTACAATAGGATAAGACTGAATGGGAGGGGATAATAAAATACCTAAACTAACCAAGGGATAAGATTCTTTTCGGGTAAAAACTTGCAAGATAAGTTCCCCCTCCAACTACTAAATACTCCAACGGGTGGAGGAAAAGACTCAGATATGACCCCAGGAAGATAATCTTTCTTGAATAGGGGAGTGAGCGGCATAGATGGCAAAGCGGATCTCTTCGACTTAGCAAGAGCTTATACCTCGGCTGAACTTTCTCTACATTGGTCAGGAGTTGATGAGGAATCGGATAGACGAGTCAAGGCTTCTTCAACAAGACTTGTAAACAGAAGAAGATTATTTCCTTCCTACGGGATGAATTTTAATCCCTGCTAGCCTTTACTTTCATCCCCGGTGGGATTTTAAAACTCCTGCTCCTTCGGCTTCGGAATCAAGACTATACCCTCTGCCAGCTTCTTTCTCGACGTGCGATGTCATCAGAGTGCTTCCTTTTCCGCCCTGTAATTCGCTCAAAGGAAAAGTGACACTACCTTTCATCAGTTTGAGATGGGAAATTGGATCAAGGAAATTCATACATATTTTGTGCTCACTCTTGACAACAGACTTAGTATTCATTGATGTGCTAACTTACAAAGAAGTGCCAATGGGGGGAGTCTATATCAGCTGACCGGAGAAAGGCTAAGCTTACTTTGCCGCGGCACCTTAGCGTCCCGTCCCTTCCTCTCATTAGCTCTCTTTTATATGCACACGTGCGCGAGCCCTTTCAGAGAAGGAGTGGCTTCAGGCCGGCTTAGACTGCTTGACTGTCTTGCTAACCATTTCGCCTTTAGGGTTGCATGCTAGTCTTAGGTTGTATAAGAGATGTCGCCTTAAGGCTTCTTTTAATTAAAAAAATGGAAATAAGCTTTCTATATCCCGAAGGCCGATGAAACAGGATCTGGGGGCTTAGACCACTTGAACTCTTATTTTTTTAGCTTAAATTAAAGATAGGCCTTCTCGAGCCTTTTTAGACGAAGTAAAGGGAAAGTAAGGATCAATAAGAAAATAATAGGCATCAGATGCCCTCTTTGAAAGGAAAGAATACGCTCTTGTCGCAATTGAATCAATAGTTAACCCAAACACAGAATAGGCAGCTTGAAAAGAAGCTCTAAGCCTTGACGCTCTTGATGGCATTACCGCTGCTAGAAAGCTAACTGAATGCGTATCTGGTCTTGAGTAAATAGAAGCTCTGGGATTAGACGCTGTTGGCAATAACCGCTGCTACAGTTGGAGTTGTCGGTGCTTTAGTAAGAGTATGAGTAGGAACTCTTGTTGGTCTTGTTGTCGTATACGGTACTAGCCTTTTAGTCGTTTCCAAGGCTCTTCTCTTGTCACGAATCAGCTCTTTGAAGGAAGGAGGCAAAAGGTCTAGGCCCATCTGTCTAAAAGTGAACCTTAAGCTAAGCTCTGATCTTCTTACTCTAAGAGCGGCAACAACAAGTGCCCTTACTCCTAATCTTTTAACAGAACAGAATCATCTTTAGTTACGATAGAACCACAAAAGTCAACTGAAATCAAACCATCGAGGGGCCGTAGGCGGTTAACTCGCTCACTAAAAGAAGTGCTTTTTTTTTACACAAGGTAATGCTAATTAAAGTGCCACAGTTGATTCGTCAAAAAGACTAGCAGCATTTGTCCACTTCTCTGACTCTGAAAACGTCAAAGCGGTTGGCCCCCCCATTTGATCAATTTAATTGCCTTTATCTGATTGGCAACCTAGTCGATGCCTAAAATATGCTTTATTCCCTCCTCTTTCCTTGCTTATTTGTTTGTCTAGGAGCAGGAGTAATAAGTCATAAGTAGTGGTGAATCCGTGTAGCTGTCAGCTGGTAGTTTGTAATTATCACCCGGTAGCTGCTTTTAGAGAATTATGTCTGATCTTCTGGGGTGGTATAGCCTTTATAGAATATCCTCTCCCCCAGGAAAGCTAACTCAATAGGAATTCTCTCTCTCGTCGATGCTATTGAATCCGCAGCTGTTGGTCTTGGTGGTAGGGGATCGTTATCATTCAGCAGAAGTACTTCGAGGGATTGCTAAGAATGGAATACAATTTTGTCCTTATTTAGCTTGAAAGTGTGACATTGCGATCGCGGTGATCATCTTTCCTTGTCCCTGCTAACCCACAACTAAAGCATCATGACTCTTTGATTCCACATCACATGCCCTAACTCCACGAAGGGATGGAATAGACACTAATCTTACCAAGATATACTAGTATTCAATCCTGAAAGAGTTAAGGAAGTGCAGAAAGATAGACATTAGTCTTGGACTTAACCCCTGAGGAGAAAGATCCACCTCAGCTTGTCCTAGAGCTAGCCTCAGACTCTGAAGTTTATGTTAACCATACGGGTCTATCAACCGCCTCATTTGCAAGGCTAAGAAGAGCAATGAAAGAAGAAAAGTTGTTATAGCAAGGGTTTATTCTTTTAGGAGCTAGCTTAGCCGGACTTCCTAGAATAGCCGTATCTGTATAATAGAAGAATAGAGCGAGGGTTGCTTTCCGTAATGGGCTACTAACTACGACTTTGCTTCTGCAGCACGTCGAAGGTCTTCGTCAGGTGTCGGAATCACATTTTGATTGTCGTCTATGAACTCAATACCAGATAAAGAAGCTGCGAACAACTGAAAGAATAGAGGGAAGGTTGCATTCACACTTCTCTCTTCGTCATTCTAAAGCAAGGAATGAAGTAAATCTTCCCTTAAGGCATTAACAAAGATAGATGCCATTATCTTATATGTCATATCTATTTTCAAATAGGCCTGGTTCAACTCGACAGGATGGTGTTGGCCAAGAGTGACTAGCAACACGGAGTAGGGATGCTGCGACGGCAGAGGGGCAGAGATCGAAATATGGACTTTTGGTCGGACCTGTCGGAGACGATGCGGACCTTAATGCGCCCTATCTTCCTATCGCCCTAGATGGATGAGTAAGTCAAAAGATAGGGAGACCTTGACCAAAGAGATTTAGATGCATAGCTGGACGGACCTCCGATTCTGCTTGTTCAGATGCTGCTCACTCGCTGCCTGCGCTTAACACGGGAAGACTCAATAGAGACCGATGAATCGCATTCTAGGTTCGAACTTGCTTCTAGCCACTTGGTTCATCCCCACTTTCAGACTAAAGAGAAAGGCTTTGGAGTTATTTTCCTGCGGCTTGACTAAACCTAATTTCCAAGCCTGTGGAATGGCTGTCAATTCTTTCCATTAAGCGATCATAGGGTTCATCTGTCCTTTTTTCTTGTCAAGCTCCGGTTTTTCTAATGAATTCGTTCAGTCATTCGCATTCCAATCCGCCTGGCACTGAGGAAGGGTAAAGTCAAGACCAGTTTGGGGCATGGCGGGTATTGATGCAAACCAGCCTCCGCCCCCTTTTCCAGGTTACGAATCGGCATCGAACTAAGGAAGAGCAAATCACGGTTTTCATCAACCACTGCTAGACCCAGGGGAAGATCAGAGACAATTTGTTTGAGACCTAACTGTACACTTTCGATTTTATCCCTAAATTCAAACTTTATATATCTCTTTCTCCATTCCATTTTCGACTGCATGCTATTGGAGCTACGTGTACACCGCGTCGAGACTCTCCTCAAGCCACCTGAGAGTGTAGCTTCACTAACCTAAATGCTTCCGTGATCTTATATACGCAACCCACCTTCAGATCTCATTCTGACTGGGAACACACGAAGGAAAGACTGACCACAGAACTTAGATTCAGATTCAGTTCGATTTTGCTACTTAAGTGGAACTCTATTCTTATTCCTGGAAGCAAAGCAACCTAGCTAATTACTCTTTATTCTTTACTGGTCAGTATCGTACCTGACTAGACTGCTTTCTTCCGCGGTGGAGCAAGAGCAAGCAAGCACCCCTACAGCTACTAAAAAGAAGCTGTTGCAAGCTCAAGGATATGGGAACTGACTGCATACTAACGGAATCTATCAAGAAAATTCAAAGATAGAATAAACAATCAGTGAAATAACTTACTATTCTAGTGAGGCAAGTTCAATATCTCACTGGAAGCCCCTACCTATTGGGGTAGTAAGTTCTTACTGAAGACAAGGGGGGCAGCACCAGCTGTGGCACAAAGCAGCAACTGTCAAGCTTTAGATTGTCTAACCAAAACAATTTTTATAAGCTAATACTTAGTCGTTACGATACTTTTTTCGCCCCCACTTCACAACTTTGAAAAGCCTACTTAGCTTTAGCAGGCGAGCGGAGTCAAGTCAAGCTAACGCTTCCCTATCCCGATCTAGAAAGGATTTCTTCTATTCTTCACATTCCTATAATGAACTGCTTACCGCGAAAATCCCAAGCGAGTAGAACTATAGCTTTGTTCACAACACAACCTGGACCGCTTCGAGACTTTCTTTCTCAAGCTCTCCTCTCAGAAGGTTCAAGGATGATTCTTATTGCACGAGAGATTGCCCTACCAGCTAAACAACTGGATTCCTACCGTCTAACTCCTCTCCTTTATGGGTTGGCTACCGGGGATCCACTGTGGCTTGTGACTAGGTTGGTACGGGTGAGTTACCATAAAGCCTAAGTTATCTGGTTCTGGCTAATGCCCTAAGGGATTGGCCTTGCTTTGAGTTAGTAATACTCTAAGTGCGGTTAGTACAAGAAGGTTCTGCGGCTTACTCTTACTACAGTTAAACCCTCTGTCCTAGTGTCGTGCACAGTCGGGATATCTAAATAACAAGCGATTCCCATATTATGGACTCGGAAAGCCCCCTCCATTCATCTGTAACTAGAACATCCTCACTTCCAGATCCGAAGGTGCTAATCTAATTTATTGACGAAGAAAAACGAGGCTATCTGTGATTACTCTTCGCCGACCAAGAAGACTCGAGACAAACTTCCCCCTTTTGTTGGTTTCGTTATCCAACTCTCTATTTTCCGCAGAAAAAATTAAGTATGAATTACCTTCCGAGCCACTAGGATCAGGCCGATACGCTTTGGCATAATAAATCATAACACGGTTCAATCCCCTTTCTCAAGTGAATTCATCGATCGGGCACTGGGCCTTCCCTTCTCTCGATCGGCGTATCCGCTTCCAGAGGTTATGCTTTATCCAATCCAGTTTGTTAGTCTATTCCCTTTCCTTTAGTTGCTTATCCTTTAGGGAAGCTTTTCACTCGAGAGATGTGGAACTCTTTGACAGCTGGAACTTGAGACTCGGCTTAGTGTATTACGTGATGAGGCCTCTATTTAAGCATCAAAACAAGAGTTACAGGAGGGATAAGAAAGTTGTCCTGCTTACTGCTCCGAACCCATTGCTACATAAGGGCCATCAACCCACTCCCGACTAGGAGTGATGCTCTCTTCTGGACTACACTACTAGGTCTAAGTGGTAGGTCGGCAGGTTACGTGTGCAGTTGACTTTGCAGCTTTAGTGCGGCGCTTGGTTTTGTGTGCTTTGCAGCAGTTTACCATTCTGCTGTACCGGATGCCCGAAGTGTGGACTCTTTATCTAAGTTAGCTTAAGGCCTATTCTAATAAGTTTTCTAATAAGTTCTCAGTTTTCTTCGTCGCCAAAGCCTCAATACCTACTCTTGAATGGAATTCTATCCCATAGCTCTTATTCCAAGAACTATTGATTTCCCTTAGCAGCTGATTCAATAGCCAGCCCCCTTGCTTGGTTCTGGTCAGTCCCGCTACCGAGCTTTCACTTTCAAATCAATCAACCCCGTGCTTTAGATCAGCTAATTGGGAATCTGGATCTTCCCCATAAATTGGGATCGGCCACTCATCTTGAGTATCTCACTTGCTTGTTCAGGCCATAAGAGCTCAGAGTCTAATCGCAGAGAACTCATACCGTCTCTTGAGCCTATAGATAGAAGGTAGGCCTAGACTTTAAGGTGAATACGTCTTTCTGTGATCTTACGGTAGCGAGTTTCGGTAAGTTCAGTAAGTTAAGTGACGAGCGAAGGTGTACAAAGTCTATGACTCACACGCTTAGGCGGGTTACGGGACTTTGTGATTCTTTCGGACAAGATTGCCTAGATTGATCAGATTCTCTTCCTATCTATTCATAAGACAAGATCCATCAAGGAATCCAGCGGCAGGGTACTTTATTTCGATATCTCCCCCCGAGGGTGAGGTAGACTTCCATATCCTTAAGGAGAAAATAAGATCTCTTGCTTTGCCCACAAGCCCTACTAGCTTAGCAAGTCTGGTCGCAGGTGTGTTGTTCGTTCTAGCGATAGGCTCCAAGCGCGATTCTGATTCTAAATTAGGTTTTATGTTCTACAATGAATCTGTTCTAAAGAAAGACCTGCCTATAAGAGGGGCTGGTTCACGGTAATGAATGGTGGTATCGGTCGGGGCAAGCACTCGTTCCCGCAGCCCTTGTTGCAGCTGATAGACTCAAAAGTAAGGGCACGAAAAGCTGTCCTAAACAAAAAACCTTCTCGCGGGAAGCCCCCACAAAAAAAAGGGGGACAAGATTCATCGATTAGGTGGCAGCAAGGTTTGTGACTCTTTGATCTATCGGAATTGCTCTCCATCAGAGAGAGAGAAAGGAATTTGTCTGGAGGATGGCTAAGGCTGTTGTCAAGAAGGTTATGCCTACCAGTCTCTCTCTTCTAAGGCCTCTATGCCTGTTCTCGAATCCGCTCTTATCTTATCCGCTGCTTGAGAATAGGCTTTGAGGAAGGGTACCACATATCCCTCTTAGTAAACCCTAAGATAAGGACAGAGAAGAGGTAATCCTAATAGTCAACTATTAGCGTCCCTGCTATCAGTCCAGTACCATTAGTTCTCCAAAGGTCAAAGGCTAGCCTTCTAAGAACCTTTCACTCTTGCCTGTTGATTGATATTCCTATCCTTCATTACCGGGGAGAACGAAACTTATTAGCATGGAACATATGCCATGATCCTTAAGCCTCCAAGCCTCATTCAAATGAAGGATCCTAACTCAAAGATCAGATCATCTTGTGGAACTGCCGATTGCTTCTTTTTTTCTTAAGAAGAGCTCAGTCATTTAGGATCAACAACACGTTATGAGGCCAGGCCACACTTAACTAAGCCCACCAATTAGATGTTCAGTTCAAATCCTAACTACCACAATAATGCAAGGCGGGAGAGAAGCCGGATGCGTATCATAGAAGGACTTATTTATTGGTCTATCTAATAGCCGTACAGTCGCTACTAATACTAAGACAGGGATGACAGGATTGGTCTTGAAGTCTTTATCTCTCTAAAAAGGGCTCTCTAAATCCCTAGAGATTGTTAATTTCTCTATATGAAAAAAAATCCTAAAGAAAGATCTAATACCAATTTTGGAAAAAATTCGTGGATCGACTAAGGAAGGCTATGAAGCTATCGATTCAATGAAAGAAAGAATAGTGGTGCTCAAACAGCACAGTACAATCACGGAGTTGTAACTACAATGGCTGCCCATGTACTGGTATCCTTTATGCGTTTTTCTCAATAGGTAGAAGAATAGCGCTGTCCAAATTGATAGCAAAATATCAAACTTCAAGCTAGGCGTAGGCCGAGCATTCCTTCTTTACTTTAGAGTTTCATTTTTTCATGCCTTAGCAGAAGAGAGGAGGCTGTCAGAGCCTACTGATCTGTTAGCGGATAAAAGAGCAGATTCGATTCTACGCTCGGAACCTTGGTCCAGCAATATACTAAAGCGCTTGGATCGGAGATCGCATGACCAGATCCTATTCCATACCAAGCTTGGAAAGCTGTGCTTCGGTGCGGATTTGTATACAGGGAGGAAGCCTTGAACTGTGCAAACGCAGAACAACCTCCAAACCGGATAAGATCTCAAGAGCTTACTACTCCATCCTAGGGCATGTTTACTTTTTCGGTTACAAAGACTCGTGTTAGTCAAAGCTACTAGAAAGCTTGAGCCTCAAAAGAAAGCATGACCTTCGTAAAGGTCCAGTATAACTCGTATTCGTGATTTACTAACTTCGACGCCCTAGCTAAGGAGACACGGCCTCAGACTTGAACAAAGGGGAATCAGACTCTCTAAAAATGATAAGATTATCTTCTATGAGAAATTACTTACAGCGATCCTGCATCTCCGCCTAGTTACTTCGCTCCGCCCCTTGATGACAAAGTAAACATAGCCGAAAGGCCCTTTTTTTCCTACCGCTTTGCTAGACTCCTCTACACCTATCTTATGAAATCCGTGCCGTTAAATTTCCTTTTTCCCTCCCTCCTGTCTCACCGCAACCTGTCGCCTAAAACAGGAGAATCGAAGGAAAGCATGTTTAGGCTTCAAGTCAACTACATCTCAAAGCCTCGAAGGTTATAAGAAAGCAAGTTGGCCCCTCATTCAATTTAGCTACTCAAGTCTTCTATCCACTACGTCCCTCAACCTAGCGTATGAAAGACAAAGAGCCTTAACAGTTGACTACCAAAGCCCCCTCTAAAAATAAAAATGCGGCACCCCATTCCCGAGCCCAATGGTTAATAGAAAGGGCTTGCTTGAGTGTATGAACGCCTAGAAAGCTATGGCTTGGTCCCCTATTGCGGATTAAAAAAGCTTTCTATCTCGGCCATAACTAACTGGTAATCAGTAATCAGGAGTTTC